TGGCCTCTGCTCTAGGGGATGCCACCTGCCTGGCCTCTGCTCTAGGGGACGCCACCTGCCTGGCCTCTGCTCTAGGTGACGCCACCTGCCTGGCCCCTGCTCTAGGGGACGCCACCTGCCTGGCCTCTGCTCTAGGTGACGCCACCTGCCTGGCCTCTGCTCTAGGGGACGCCACCTGCCTGGCCTCTGCTCTAGGGGGACACCACCTGCCTGGCCTCTGCTCTAGGGGGACGCCACCTGCCTGGCCTCTGCTCTAGGGGGACACCACCTGCCTGGCCTCTGCTCTAGGTGACGCCACCTGCCTGACCTCTACTCTAGGGGACGCCACCTGCCTGACCTCTGCTCTAGGGGACGCCACCTGCCTGACCTCTGCTCTAGGGGACGCCACCTGCCTGACCTCTGCTCTAGGGGACGCCACCTGCCTGACCTCTGCTCTAGGGGACGCCACCTGCCTGACCTCTGCTCTAGGGGACGCCACCTGCCTGACCTCTGCTCTAGGGGACGCCACCTGCCTGACCTCTGCTCTAGGGGACGCCACCTGCCTGACCTCTGCTCTAGGGGACGCCACCTGCCTGGCCTCTGCTCTAGGGGACACCACCTGCCTGACCTCTGCTCTAGGGGACGCCACCTGCCTGGCCTCTGCTCTAGGGGACACCACCTGCCTGACCTCTGCTCTAGAGGACGCCACCTGCCTGACCTCTGCTCTAGGGGACACCACCTGCCTGACCTCTCCTCTAGGGGACACCACCTGCCTGACCTCTGCTCTAGAGGACGCCACCTGCCTGACCTCTGCTCTAGGGGACGCCACCTGCCTGACCTCTGCTCTAGGGGACGCCACCTGCCTGGCCTCTGCTCTAGGGGACGCCACCTGCCTGGCCTCTGCTCTAGGGGACGCCACCTGCCTGGCCTCTGCTCTAGGGGACACCACTGTGAGGAGCACCACATGTGGATGAGGGGACATATATTCCAGCGTGAAGACAAACTACAAAACTAGGTTAAGGATGCTGTGAAGGTCTTGAGCGGAGAGGTTTCCTCTGCATCTTGTATCTCAGTGTAACTCTTACTCTTAACTCTTGTAACTCTTGTCCAACATCAACTGCTGCCTCGCTATATACTACTGTATTATCTCACTGTAAGTGTACTGGCTCGGGTGTAATGTTCCGCCATGCTATCCATCATGACTCCCGCCATCATGACTCCCACCATCATGACTCCCTCCATCATGACTCCCGCCATCATGACTCCCTCCATCATGACTCCCGCCATCATGACTCCCGCCATCATGACTCCCTCCATCATGACTCCCGCCATCATGACTCCCGCCATCATGACTCCCGCCATCATGACTCCCGCCATCATGACTCCCTCCATCATGACTCCCTCCATCATGACTCCCTCCATCATGACTCCCGCCATCATGACTCCCTCCATCATGACTCCCTCCATCATGACTCCCGCCATCATGACTCCCGCCATCATGACTCCCGCCATCATGACTCCCGCCATCATGACTCCCGCCATCATGACTCCCGCCATCATGACTCCCGCCATCATGACTCCCGCCATCATGACTCCATCCATCATGACTCCCTCCATCATGACTCCCGCCATCATGACTCCCGCCATCATGACTCCCTCCATCATGACTCCCTCCATCATGACTCCATCCATCATGACTCCCTCCATCATGACTCCCGCCATCATGACTCCCGCCATCATGACTCCCGCCATCATGACTCCCTCCATCATGACTCCCGCCATCATGACTCCCGCCATCATGACTCCCGCCATCATGACTCCCTCCATCATGACTCCCTCCATCATGACTCCCTCCATCATGACTCCCGCCATCATGACTCCCGCCATCATGACTCCCTCCATCATGACTCCCTCCATCATGACTCCCTCCATCATGACTCCCTCCATCATGACTCCCGCCATCATGACTCCCGCCATCATGACTCCCTCCATCATGACTCCCGCCGTCATGACTCCCGCCGTCATGACTCCCGCCGTCATGACTCCCGCCGTCATGACTCCCTCCATCATGACTCCCTCCATCATGACTCCCTCCATCATGACTCCCTCCATCATGACTCCCTCCATCATGACTCCCTCCATCATGACTCCCTCCATCATGACTCCCTCCATCATGACTCCCTCCATCATGACTCCCTCCATCATGACTCCCTCCATCATGACTCCCTCCATCATGACTCCCTCCATCATGACTCCCTCCATCATGACTCCCTCCATCATGACTCCCGCCATCATGACTCCCTCCATCATGACTCCCTCCATCATGACTCCCGCCATCATGACTCCCTCCATCATGACTCCCTCCATCATGACTCCCTCCATCATGACTCCCGCCATCATGACTCCCGCCATCATGACTCCCGCCATCATGACTCCCGCCATCATGACTCCCTCCATCATGACTCCCGCCATCATGACTCCCGCCATCATGACTCCCGCCATCATGACTCCCACCATCATGACTCCCACCATCATGACTCCCTCCATCATGACTTCCGCCATCATGACTCCCGCCATCATGACTCCCGCCATCATGACTCCCGCCATCATGACTCCCGCCATCATGACTCCCGCCATCATGACTCCCGCCATCATGACTCCCACCATCATGACTCCCGCCATCATGACTCCCGCCATCATGACTCCCTCCATCATGACTCCCGCCATCATGACTCCCTCCATCATGACTCCCGCCATCATGACTCCCGCCATCATGACTCCCGCCATCATGACTCCCGCCGTCATGACTCCCGCCGTCATGACTCCCGCCGTCATGACTCCCGCCATCATGACTCCCGCCATCATGACTCCCGCCATCATGACTCCCGCCATCATGACTCCCGCCGTCATGACTCCCGCCATCATGACTCCCGCCATCATGACTCCACCCATCATGACTCCCTCCATCATGACTCCCGCCATCATGACTCCCGCCATCATGACTCCCACCATCATGACTCCCGCCATCATGACTCCCGCCATCATGACTCCCGCCGTCATGACTCCCGCCATCATGACTCCCGCCATCATGACTCCCGCCATCATGACTCCCGCCATCATGACTCCCGCCATCATGACTCCCGCCATCATGACTCCCGCCATCATGACTCCCTCCATCATGACTCCCGCCATCATGACTCCCTCCATCATGACTCCCACCATCATGACTCCCGCCATCATGACTCCCGCCATCATGACTCCCGCCATCATGACTCCCACCATCATGACTCCCGCCATCATGACTCCCTCCATCATGACTCCCGCCGTCATGACTCCCGCCATCATGACTCCCGCCATCATGACTCCCGCCATCATGACTCCCGCCATCATGACTCCCGCCATCATGACTCCCGCCATCATGACTCCCGCCATCATGACTCCCTCCATCATGACTCCCGCCATCATGACTCCCACCATCATGACTCCCACCATCATGACTCCCGCCATCATGACTCCCGCCATCATGACTCCCGCCATCATGACTCCCACCATCATGACTCCCGCCATCATGACTCCCTCCATCATGACTCCCGCCACCATGACTCCCTCCATCATGACTCCCGCCATCATGACTCCCGCCATCATGACTCCCGCCATCATGACTCCCGCCATCATGACTCCCGCCATCATGACTCCCTCCATCATGACTCCCGCCATCATGACTCCCGCCATCATGACTCCCGCCATCATGACTCCCGCCATCATGACTCCCGCCATCATGACTCCCACCATCATGACTCCCTCCATCATGACTTCCGCCATCATGACTCCCGCCAACATGACTCCCGCCATCATGACTCCCGCCATCATGACTCCCGCCATCATGACTCCCGCCATCATGACTCCCGCCACCATGACTCCCGCCATCATGACTCCCGCCATCATGACTCCCACCATCATGACTCCCGCCATCATGACTCCCGCCATCATGACTCCCTCCATCATGACTCCCGCCATCATGACTCCCTCCATCATGACTCCCGCCATCATGACTCCCGCCAACATGACTCCCGCCATCATGACTCCCGCCATCATGACTCCCGCCATCATGACTCCCGCCATCATGACTCCCGCCACCATGACTCCCGCCATCATGACTCCCGCCATCATGACTCCCACCATCATGACTCCCGCCATCATGACTCCCGCCATCATGACTCCCTCCATCATGACTCCCGCCATCATGACTCCCTCCATCATGACTCCCGCCATCATGACTCCCGCCATCATGACTCCCACCATCATGACTCCCGCCATCATGACTCCCGCCATCATGACTCCCGCCGTCATGACTCCCGCCATCATGACTCCCGCCATCATGACTCCCTCCATCATGACTCCCTCCATCATGACTCCCGCCATCATGACTCCCGCCATCATGACTCCCACCATCATGACTCCCGCCATCATGACTCCCGCCATCATGACTCCCGCCGTCATGACTCCCGCCATCATGACTCCCGCCATCATGACTCCCGCCATCATGACTCCCGCCATCATGACTCCCGCCATCATGACTCCCACCATCATGACTCCCGCCATCATGACTCCCACCATCATGACTCCCGCCATCATGACTCCATGCTCTTTTCTTACCTGTTGGTTTAGATTCAGCTTCATGGAACAAAAGTTGCAAGTAGCACGGGCTGGGGTGAGCCCGTAGTGGACTTGTTTGTTCTTACCATTTGGTCAGTTGAGTATCGTAAATTTGTTGTGTGTCTATAACAGACTACCTCCTGCCCAACCAGTCGGGGAGGACGGTAGAGCGACGGTCTTGCTTCATGCAGGTCGGCGTTCAATCCCCGACCGTCCAAGTTGTTGGGCACCATTCCTTTCAACCCGTCCCATCCTAAATCCTTATCCTGACCCCTTCCCAGTGTAATATAGTGGTAATGGCTTGGTGCTTCCCCTGATAGTTCCCGTCCCTCCCGATACTGCCCCTCCACACACTAACCAGATACCTCAGGGTCGAGTGGTGGCGGCACACTCAAGCTCAACGTCAGCGACCTCCCCACTGCTGGTTTGGGCATTTTTCTGAACGACGACGATTTGGAGTTGGAGAAAGTGTTGTGGACGGCCAATCCGGAGGCTCCTGGAGGCGAGGTGGCCGCGTTATGGCCAGGCTGGTGGAGGAGGAGGACAGGTGGGGAACATCGACCCCCACCACTGGAGTGCGAGGCTGTGCCAGCCTCCAACTGAGCGACGGAAGCCCACACACACCGACGCAGCTCAGGGCTGCTGGAACAGGACCTGGAGGCCCGGGTTCTTCCCTGGGAACCTCCACACACGCCACCAGCTGAGGCTGAGCGAGCCACAGGTGTCCTGGTAGGGGGACAACTGTGCTGGCGGGTGTTGAGATCCTTCCAGAAGGCCCACGACGCTCCAGGAGTCAGCTCAAACACTCCAGAACGGTCCTCACATCTGGAGTCTGGTGGCTGCAGAGGTCCTCCTGGGGACCTGAGGGTCTGCAGGATCTTCTGCGGCAACGTTAGAACCGTTGTGAAGGTGTTAAGGAGCAGAGCTCCACAATATGAGAGGCCGCCGCTGCCGCCTGTGTTTACACGTGACACACACACACTGTGTGGCGGGGAACTGTATGGCGCCCACTGTGGCGCCACCGTCTGACTCCTCCACAACCTGGCGCCGCTCCAGAGGTGCTGGCTACTGATACAGGTAACTGTTATCTCACCTTGTGACTCACCTCAGAGCTCCACACGCGCCCACTTAATACCAACCCTCTTAAATTATTTATTATCGTTTTTAACAACCTAGGCAACCCCGGTCTGACGACAGCCACCTGTACCACCGTGAAGGGTGCACCACCTGTACCACCGTGAAGGTGTGCACCACCTGTACCACCGTGAAGGTGTGCACCACCTGTACCACCATGAAGGTGTGCACCACCTGTACCACCTTGAAGGTGTGCACCACCTGTACCACCGTGAAGGTGTGCACCACCTGTACCACCATGAAGGTGTGCACCACCTGTACCACCAGGAAGGTGTGCACCACCTGTACCACTGTGAAGGGTGCACCACCTGTACTACCGTGAAGGGTGTACCACCTGTACCACCATGAAGGGTGCACCACCTGTACCACCGTGAAGGGTGCACCACCTGTACCACCGTGAAGGGTGTACCACCATGAAGGTGTGCACCACCTGTACCACCATGAAGGTGTGCACCACCTGTACCACCGTGAAGGGTGTACCACCTGTACCACCGTGAAGGGTGCACCACCTGTACCACCGTGAAGGGTGTACCACCTGTACCACCATGAAGGTGTGCACCACCTGTACCACCGTGAAGGTGTGCACCACCTGTACCACCATGAAGGTGTGCACCACCTGTACCACCATGAAGGTGTGCACCACCTGTACCACCATGAAGGTGTGCACCACCTGTACCACCATGAAGGTGTGCACCACCTGTACCACTGTGAAGGTGTGCACCACCTGTACCACCGTGAAGGTGTGCACCACCTGTACCACCATGAAGGTGTGCACCACTTGTACCACCATGAAGGTGTGCACCACCTGTACCACCGTGAAGGTGTGCACCACCTGTACTACCATGAAGGTGTGCACCACCGGTACCACTGTTGTAACACTGTAAAAGTGTTTGGTTTAGGTTAATACATACATAGAGTACATGAGTCACAGACAAGGATCGGAGAGGCGCCAGTTGTCTGCCTGAGATCTCACACCTCTAACCGTTAACGACCCCAAGTGACCTGAGGTCAGATCATGCGAATTTCACCTTGCTTCTGATAATCTCTTAGTTGTAGTCTGGTAGCCTTCAAACATGCCGACGTTTAAGGAGTGGCTTGGTAGTGCCGGAGGCTATCTATTTGTGGGCGGAGTTAGCTACTAGGTTCCCCAATATAAACTCGGAGAGCTATCAAGCATCAAGCATTAACAGACAGAGCAGCAGACGAGCCAGGAGAGCAGAGAGAAGACAGCCCTATCAGGGAGGCTGTCGGCCGGCAGGGGCGAGACAGTCTCTGTCAAGCTACAGACCCCCCCCCCCTCTCTATTCAACTTAGACTCCGTCCTCGGTGAGTGAACAGTGAGGTGACTTGGTCGTGTTTACATATGTTGTGTGATGATCAGGGGCAGTCAAGTTGTAGGGTTCTCGAATTCTTGGATGATGACTCTCTTTAACATTTGAATTGGATTGCTTATATTATGATACTTCATGTGAAATATAATTATGAATTTATTATTTAAATTGTGTTTAACTTTGTGCCCTAGAGCTTTGAGTTGAGGATTTGAGAAAGCCTCAGTGGTTACTGGGTTCATGATATAAATGAGTACATGTTTGGAGTTGATACATGGTAATAACATCTTTTGAGAATATTTTGATACAGGCAAGTTCCATTCCTTGTCTTGTATGTAATGATCATGAATGGATGGTGGCAGCATTTCGTCTTCTACTATCTACTCTTCTACTTCTACTATCGACTCTTCTACTTCTACCTATCTACACCTCTCCCTCCACCCATCTCTAAACTCTCACTTTCAACTAATGACCCTCCTCGCTCCTCCCACCTCCCTACCTCTTACCCCAAACCCTCACTAATTACTTCACTATTCATTTCTTTCCTTTCGTTTCCTCTTATACGTTTGTGGCAATGATTATGTATTCTAGAGTTCTCTCTAGAGTTTCGGGTAACTGATCAAGTGACGGCGCCTGGTAGTCGTAGCACCTAGGTAGTCAAATACCTAGGTTACAAGGTGTTGAACGAGAGAGGTTGCCTTAGGAACTCTGGAGGTGCTCCAGAATAGTTAGCTAACTGAGGACGGGATAACGGACTAGAGAGAGCTGTTTCCCCCGGCCTCGTTAGTTAACTGGGGGGTGGAATAATGGACAAGATAGAGATATTTCCCCCACCCCCCCGTTACAATGGTGGCAGCGGTGTTGAACAATGTTTAAGGTATTGGTGTTCTTTTAACATTGTTCAGTCCCACGTGTCTTTTTGCCGCTCAGGCGCTATCAGGGAGATCTTGACAGGTGTTTAATATTCGCGAGTTAGCGAACTTTTTTCAGGTTAGGAGATAGTGATTCTCTGGTGTTGTGTTTAGTGATTTTGTGAGTTTTGTGGTGTTCAGGGAATGTTCACCAGAACTTGCGTGTGTAGTGATTTATGTTAGTAATAAGATTTGGCGATTTGGGAACTTAGCGGTGTTGGTAGTGCAGGTCAGCTGAGTGTGACAGGTGACCTCGCATGTCCCACGGGGACACCCAGCCACCGCTGGTCTCCAGGTCAGTGGGGAGTGGCAGGTGTAGTTCTTAAGTAGTTTAAGTGTGGTTCTGCTCAGATTATTGCGATCGACTGTTTTACTCCATTTGAACGCAATAACCCGAGGTGTACTGGTATTGTACAGCATGCTAGTGTGGACTAGTGTGTCAGTAGACTTCACGTTGGGGACGCTCGACGTTAGATAGTCTGGTCACAGGGGTGACAACAGTTTGGGAGTTGTTTACCGGCGGAGAAGCTAGGGAAACACTCTGGGTCACGTAGGTGGCTGTAGGTTAAGGGTGGGAGTAATGGTTAATTATGTACTTAAGATTAGGAACGGTACAGTTAAGTTTAGGCTAGTGTTTTGTCTATTAGTGTTGATTTTTTTTTGTGACAAGTTAAAAGTAGTGATGACCTTATTCTCTCTTCTCTAACTTTACTCTGTTACTGTTTTATGTTCCACCAAGTCAATATCATTCAGAGTTAATTGAATTATTAAAAATTGAAGTGTAGTTGTTGCCAGGAGGAGAGCGGTATGATAGGACTGTGTAACCCTATACAAACGACAGGGTCACACAAACATCTTGGGAACACGTATTGTCGCCTTTCTGTTCATTTCACAGGTGGGAGCCAGAAGAGAGGAGAGACGCACATACAGAAGAGGGAGACGGCTGCCTTATACCACACTCACGGCTGTTCCTCACCACCACGACGACCAGCCCCTACCTGGATGTCAGGGCCACCACCACCACCACCACCCCAGGGGACCCCAAGATGCAGCCCTCTCGGTCGGTCAACATTGGTCTACCCAGTGGACCCCAAGACGGACGGACCCCAGTGGACCCCAAGACGGACGGACCCCAGTGGACCCCAGGTCGTTCTGCAGACGACCCCAGACGACCCAGTAATGATGGAAGAGGAGCAACAACGACTCCAGTCTGTCCCACCAACATCGGTCTACCCAGGATGGACCCCAGGACGGACAGACCCCCAATGGACCCCAGGTCGCTTGTCAAAGACCCATGGGAGGAGGAAGAGAGAAGAAAGAAGAGAGAAGAAAGAAGAGAGAAGAAGAAGAAGAGAGAAAGAAAGAAGAGAGAAGAAAGAAGATAAGACAAGCTGAGTGAGACATGATACCTAGTGTCCCTTGCTGGTATCAGCATCATTGCATGGAGCGTAATTGCAAGACAGGATCGTTTGCCTTAACTGGCCGCCCCTCCTACAAGCAGGTAGCTCTGTTGAGTGATTCTTCCTGTGTCGTGCGGACTTGATGTGGCTGTCAGAAGTAGCTCTCCGAAGGAGGCGTGCTGGAGCAACAGGGAGGAAGAAGAGTAGGATGGGATTTCTACTGTTGGCAACTATATGAAGGTCTCGAAACTTGTAGTCCCTATAGCTGTGAAAAACCCCAATATACGTCTCTCATGGTGACTGACGTAGGGCCAATTACAGATCAGCTGGGACAACCGAATTCCACGGTCCTGTGCTCAGTTCAAGTAGTAACGGCTTTCGGGTTGACCAAGTGTTGTTGTGCGTTAACGACGGAGAAGCGACGGAGGCAGTTGTGTTGAAGAAATGTGGTACAGGATTATCTACAAGACCAAGCAGTGACGTCGCCCAGCCAGAGACAATGGACGTCTGTCTATATATTTCATTTTTTTAGAGTAGGATGATGTATATTTGTTTAGCTAGGATGTATTCTTTTCGTTAATAAAGTTGTCGCACACAGCTAGCTTGCTTTAGCAGTGTTGCAAAAACTTTATTTTCGGGGAGAAGGGGAGATGTAACACTGTAAAAGTGTTTGGTTTAGGTTAATACATACATAGAGTACATGAGTCACAGACAAGGATCGGAGAGGCGCCAGTTGTCTGCCTGAGATCTCACACCTCTAAGCGTTAATGACCCCAAGTGACCTGAGGTCAGATCATGCGAATTTCACCTTGCTTCTACTAATCTCTTAAATGTAGTCTGGTAGCCTTCAAACATGCCGACGTTTAAGGAGTGGCTTGGTAGTGCCGGAGGCTATCTATTTGTGGGCGGAGTTAGCTACTAGGTTCCCCAATATAAACTCGGAGAGCTATCAAGCATAAAGCATTAAGAGACAGAGCAGCAGACGAGCCAGGAGAGCAGAGAGAAGACAGCCCTATCAGGGAGGCTGTCGGCCGGCAGGGGCGAGACAGTCTCTGTCAAGCTACAGACCCCCCCCCCCTCTCTATTCAACTTAGACTCCGTCCTCGGTGAGTGAACAGTGAGGTGACTTGGTCGTGTTTACATATGTTGTGTGATGATCAGGGGCAGTCAAGTTGTAGGGTTCTCGAATTCTTGGATGATGACTCTCTTTAACATTTGAATTGGATTGCTTATATTATGATACTTCATGTGAAATATAATTATGAATTTATTATTTAAATTGTGTTTAACTTTGTGCCCTAGAGCTTTGAGTTGAGGATT